AACTAGGCGATGTATTCTGGGGAAAATATCCATAATGATCACAACAGCAACTCACAGCACCAGTATATACAAATATTTCAGGGCATAGGTGTTTTTCTGTTTAGTTTTGGAAAGGTGTGGATATTTATCTTATTCCCAACCCTCTATAAAATGTTACTGTTTCACGTGGCCACAAGCTGCTTGACTTTTCACAACCTCCCAAAGACATGTTTTTTTAATACAAAAAAATGTGTGACACTTAATGTTGAACTACTGACATTGTTGGAGACACTTCCAGTGGTACACAGCATTGGCTAAGTTTGCTTGGTGACCCATGCCCCTGCGTGGTTAGACTGACAGAAAATTCCTGCATGTTTACATGGCATGAACTGGTTTGATCAGTCATTGCGCCAAGCCATAACTGAAGATGTGATCCTTTGGCTGGAACACGATTGTTGCCACTATGGTGAGCCATAGTCACTATAGCCAGCAATGCTAATTTAGAACTGGCCAGTAAAAAAAGGAAGGGATAGTGGTCAAAGGTCATGTCAAAGGACAAAGAACATACAAGTTTTCAGCTGCTACTTGTGGAAATGTTCTGAGTGGAAATGGATTCACTATTATCAAATCATAAAAAAATACACTACTACAGCATGTAAATTAACTCAGGTGCCATAATTACTTAGCATATTTGAGGTGGTCTAACGCAGATATGCAGGCATTTCATATGCCTTTGTCATATTTCACACTCACAAACTGACAAAATATCGATGCACTGACAATTTAACGGCAAGTTCACAGGCACTAACCCTGTTAACTCACATCAGACATTGATGCATTTTGGCAGGTTGAAGTCAAATTGACACCTTGCATTTATAGATGTGTCTTTTGACTGTAGTGGTTATCCATTCTGTGCTTAATTTGTCCCCCACCTGAGACAGACAGGGCAGCAGGGGTGACACTCATAAATAGAACAGTGTGCCTGCGTTACCCACACAAACCCCAACAGACTAGCAAAATTACTTGTAAATACTCCATGCCCAAGAAAATTCACCAGAAACATAGCAGAAATGGTTAGCCTACCATTAAAGGGTCTGACAATTAGTTCACAAAGTCATTTGACAATTTGCACCAAACCATTTAGGTTATATGGCAAGCCCTTATATTAGTACACAGAACTTGCCTGGCAAAAGAATATGATAAAAGGATTTAGTCACAAAAAATAGAGCAAGTAGATATTCTATGGCCATGTCACCACTAAACCTAGCTCATACCTTCTCATTCCCTCGTGGTCTAGTTATTGTATCATATCAACACGGTCTGCCAGGTCAGAGGAGTGAGTGCTACCAACTGTGAACACTTTTGCCTTTGAAGATCATTCAGCTCTGAAACACTCGGGCAATGGTTAACTAACCATTTAAAGTTGTCATCAGGCCTCTTGGTAACTAGTCTGCGTAATAGACATTTGCTTGCAGATGAGCAAATGGCAGAGTAGAACAGGTGAAACTCAGATAAATTTAGTAACAAGCTACATTGAAATTTACCAAGTTAAGCACAGTGCAAATTTTGTATCGTGAGCAACCTCTTTCAGGTTTCCCTTTTTAAATTTGATTCCTGATTATAAGTCTGTGGACAGCTCCCTATCAGCATAACTAAGAATGTAAGTGTAAGCAAACAGAAACTGGCTGACTGAGAACCCAAAGTGCCCCTTGTCCAAGAAGTCCGGCAGATAATCTTGCAGAAGCATGAGATGGTAGTAACCTTTGGCAACCTCCTTCACATCGCCGTGGAGAAGAAAGAGGATAAGTGCGGTCAAGAGGTCATCGCCACTCAACATGCGACACTTCCCACCTAAAGCCAGGTTCAAATGAAAGATATTTTCAATAACTTCTCTGAACAGCTCTCTCGGTGAAGTCAGTGAAAACACACTCAGAATTTCTAAATCAAATCTGCTATAGCCATTTGATTAACTTTAACACCTTACTTTTTATTTTGCAATTCTGTGAAATGTATCAGGTTTTGTTTGTTAACATTGCTGTCAGGGCAAAACCTGTTATTAAAAAATAACATCTCCCCGACACAAAATACATCTTGTATTAGTTTATCAATTTAGTTTTAGTCTTTGTTAAGTCCCAATTTTTGAGATGATCGCTATGATTGCTTTGCTATATTTTCTCATAAAGACTTTAGCTCCCTATTGGAAAATGATTTATCATACACACAAGAAAGGCAATCCTCACAGAGGACTGATTTGAGTATCACAGGTTTGGAAGAATCATGGTTTTTTGGAAAGTCAGGAATTAAGAACTAGCTGTGTATAACGGATGGTTCCCCTTACAAACAAAAACAAGATCAGGCTATGTCTGAATTGACTGGCTGCGGCTTGACACTACACGATTCCATAGGATATGGTTGTAGCCAGTATCATAGACTCGTGTGTAATTTCAAGCTGCAGCCAAGTAATTTGGACACGGTCTTACAAGACAGAGGCATACTCACAGAAAATTATCTGTGACTGTTTCTCAGCTGTTGTGTTGACTTCTTGAAGGCAACGATACAGCCATTGCAGTTTGGACATGGGCACTGTGTCCTGAAGCACCACGCGGAAGCAGTTGTAGGCTGTCTGGAATCGCTCCAGGAACACTTTGGCGTTGGGGTTGTCTTGGCAACGCTTGCAAAGTGGGTCACTGGGGTCTGAAGATATTTGTGAGGGGCTCAGGACATCAGACTCTTTGGTGATGTTGAGACAAACCCCAGAGTCGCTGACTGAACTGTTGACTGGGATGGCCAGTGTCCTGGCGTTGGTGTTAGTGTTGGGGATGTCAATGGCAGGTGAGGAGTTCCTACTGAATACAGGGCCAGAGTTGACGTTGGGGACTGATGTAGACAACCTATCGTCCGAGTGGGTCTTCTCTCGGCTCCTACGCTCTGCCCGATTCAGCCCACTCCAAGTTGACGCCCGCTCTGACAATGAGGCCCCTCCTTCCGGTACTGATGGCGGGGGACTGGTAACCCACATCAAATCGATGATCTTAGTGAATCGATGCGATTGTCTCTGCTGATCATCTCTCTGGTCTGACATCTTTAGCCTCCGCACAACTTTGTCAACCCCTTGGATACTGATGCCAGACTCTAATCTCTCTCTCGTCTCTCTATCCTCCTCTCCCACTTTGTCTTTGGTCATATCTCCTGTCTCCTTCTGAAATTCGTTATCCAACTCCTCGGCCATCTGTCCGACCTCCTCGGCATGGTCTCTGACATCTTCTGACGTCAGCGATGGGAAGTCTGGGGCATAAAGTCCCAGGATGTTCAGAATCCACTCATCATCCAGTCTTAGGTCTCGTATAGTGACTGTTGGAAGAACTTTCTCAAGCTTTTTGGTGTTTTCAGCATAGGCGCGCTGCAAAACGAAATCAGAGATCAAAATTAGACAAGCTTCAAAACCCTTGCAACATAAACAGCAGGTTTGCTTGTCACAATGGTCCAACAAAAATACACACAGAAAATAAATAATGCGTATTATTGCAGCTTGATACTTCGGATATACCAGGCAAGATATGGGACAGAGGGGTACCCCCCTTACCTGTCCAATCCCTATACACACTCTAGACTATTGTTACCTAACACATCCCCCCTCGAAGTCTGTAAAGAATTCCTGAGATTCCGATCAAACAATGACCAACACAAAGGCGGGGGGGGGGTTCTCTCCCTCCAATATCTTGCTTCAAAAGACTTCGGAGATTCTTTGCTTTACAACGCTACGCCTTAAAATTGGTTGAGGATTCCTTATCTCATCCTCCATCTCATGTCATCACAACAAACATAGTGGTAATGCCAAACTCATGTTGTACACATACTTCTTCTGTACATGTTCTCAAGGATTAACCACAAAGCTTCAGCATTCAGTGTCCACTCTGTGCAGAAGCACCCCCTCATTGGCAGAGATCAAAGGGGGTTGTGCGCACTGTGTCAACTAGGCACCCTTAGCGCACAGTGAAAACTGCTCAGCACGGCCCGCACTGACATGCTTGAACCTGCAGACAGTGTGCCCACCAAGGAGATGTCATTGCTGCATACATACACTCCACATCTCTTTTTCTGACATGGAGCTCAAACCCCAACAAAATGCTGTTGCTACTGACTGAAGAAATTGCTTTCCAGATAATTGACCTCATAAAGTCGCAGGATGTCCCGACTCTTGGAAGAAAAGAAACACCTCTCGTAACACGTCCAGAGTCTTGAGAAGCATGTCGAAGGGACAGCATGGTCTTTGACTAGTTCATCTACAACCTGTCAATTGAATAAAGACCAAGTGTTAGGGATGAGGAAGGACCACATCAAAATGCAACAGTGTTTCTCAGAGCCACCAGATGATTTCCAAAATGCACAATGCTGACAGTGGTTCAAATTTCATTTTGGATAACATTTGCACAACTTTCCAAAGTGTAACACTTCCAAGTTGGAGTGTCTTCTGCTCAGGATATCCCAGGCAAGTTCGATCAAGCGCCAGTAGTTACATGTAATGTGTCGTTGGTTTTAAATTTTTACAGCGGCTCTTACCGCTTCCCGGCACGAAGGGGTTAAAAACAAATCCGATGTGACTAAAAATGCAGTTCAAGCTCACTCTCTCAAAGGAACTGAAACTGAGGCATGACAGGCACAAGAGGAGTCGATGGAGGTAGCATCGGGTAGGGGGGGACATTTGGTTTACCCCAAAATATTTTGTAGCAAGGGCTCTTTTTCACCAGTGTGATTTTACTATGTGCTATTTCATGCCCATTTTTCATGCGTGCTATTCCCTGACATCAAGCACATTGGACATGTGGTGATTCCCCCTCCCATTTTTTGCTTTCATGGAGATTGGGCGACTTGTGAAAAAGCCCACCTACTTCTTACCACAGATTTGTAAATGCCTTTTTCAAATCTACCTCCCCTCCCTTCCCCCAAGTGACGGTGCTATGTCCCTGAATTAGACCTCCTAGGACTTGCCTCTCGGAAATGAATTACGATTTCATTCTGCAGCTCTCTTGTCAGTCCCTGATAGTGGGTACCAGGCATTTTTGTCTTGATACTCTGCCGCACTCGGTTGATATCTGGAGATATCTTCAGACATGTGACATTGCCTGATTCTTCAACCTGTAGTAAAGTTCAAGAAAATCACAACCTTCATAAGTGCAAGACAAAGAAATGCCTAGAAGGTTAAATGCCCTCTCGAGGGTTAATACCTGTTTTTCAATGGACTAGTTCAGCGTAAGATTTAGAGGCCATTACTGGGGTGGCACCCTGGCTATGGACAGGTAGTACAAGTGAGTTAGCATGACTGTTGAAAGCCATTACTGGGGTGGCACCCTGGCTGTGGACAGGTAGTACACATGAGTTGTTGGAAGCCATTACTGGGGTGGCACCCTGGCTGTGGACAGGTAGTACACATGAGTTGTTGGAAGCCATTACTGGGGTGGCATCCTGGCTGTGGACAGGTAGTATAAATGAGTAAACATGTCTGTTGGAAGCCATTACTGGGGTGGCACCCTGGCTGTGGACAGGTAGTACACATGAGTTAACTGGACTATAAGAAGCCATTACCGGGTTGGCACCCGGGCTGTGGTCATGTGGTGCACGTGAGTTCACGAGCCCATTCAACCAATAGAAAGTTGAAACATGCCTAATGCACAAGCATGTCAAGTTTAAAGTCTTCTTGTATTAATTTATCTTCAGCAATTGTTTTGGAGGATACATTTTTCAATGATGACGATGTAATCCGTCTTATAACAAAAGAATGATCTCCAATTTTGACTTTTTCGGTTGAAAACTTCTTCCATCCGTTTTCATGTAAGTGTCTTTGAGGTTGATTCAATTTGCTGTACTGTCGACTGTCACACCAAAGCTTTTTTGTATGTAACTTAAAAGATACATGTACAATGAAGGTGATTTCTTTTTACCTGTGTACACTGAACAGTGCATGCTGGGAGTTTTTCCCTCCAACTAGAATGGGAATGTTGGTCAGCTAGCTCCTTATCGCAGAAATGCTGTACCCAGTAGCTGAATTCCTTGTGAATCTCTTGTATCGATGGATTAAACTCCAGACTCTGTAAATCAATTATACATCAGTTGGTTGGTTGTGTTATTCATCAATTTAAAGAATAAAACAAATTCTACTGAGTACATTAGCTTCTTGTCAGGTTATTCAACAATAATTTACTTCAGTAATGTATGAACTAGCAATGTAACCACAAAATGGATTTTATTTTGGTCAAGGGACTCTATAAAATGAGTTTAAACAATCTTGTCAGACACTCCAACTATTTAAGGACAAATCTGTGTCTGTTTTCAACGTTTGGACTGATTTATAATATTTGGCAAGTATTTTGGAAACATCTATGGATCAGTTAACAATTGAAGACTGCTGTGGTGAGGAATATAACATTTTGAACACCTAAGGGACGCATAATGCCCCAGGGTGAAGCTGAGAGTGCTATCCCACATCACAGCAGCTAACAATTGTTTTGTCATACATTTACCTCTGTCTTAATTACACTGAGGCTGAGGAATTTATCCAAAGAAACAAGTTCTGAATTTCAGAAGTTCAGAAGATGACAGGCCTACTGTAAAACTGTATAATTAACATGACAGACATAAATGATATCATCTGCAAATGCACTAATCCCTCACTTTCTTTAATTGCATAAACTTTAATGTGAAAGTAGAGCGTGTCCCAGTGAGTACAAGTTCATGTCATGTAGTCTGGTGAGCAGTCCCTGCATTACCTTGTATGCTGCGTGGACGGGAATGAGTCTTTTGTATGAGCGCAACCATTGATTGAATTCCCTGGTAACCTATGTGCAAAACATACCATGGGTACCACACAAAACTGACTAAATGAGCAACAACGGTCGCTCTCTAACTTCCCAAAGCTCTTCTGTCTCATGTGCGCGCAAGTACTAACAGCAGAATGAGATGTCTCACATCGAGTGTGATATGTGGATATATCGCCCTAGCATGTGATCATTCTGGGCCAATATATGACAAAAATAGTACACCCATGTGATACGTCTGTCTTTGAAACATCCTTTTTACCTTTGCAACTTGGCTTTGTAATGTTTCCCAGCCAGCTGGCAGGGATGCTTCTCCAAGCACTGTGAAAAAAGTAGAAAAAAAGATTGACAGGGCTACTAACTCTTGCATTTTGTCTGGCATAGATTCAAGCTTAACCTGAATCAAAGCCAAAATATTTCACAGTAAAGAATACAAAATCTGAGGACTATTGCATAGTTGAATAATTCAATGACAGCATTAATAAATAAGTGGAAAGGTTTGCAGTAGCACCATGCGAAGGAATATATCTCTTATGAGTATGTGTGGTTCTGAAAAGAACCGGGTGTATACTCAACGTATCAGACTGCTTGCTTAGTTCATCACACACAGTCCGAAACGTTGAGTATACTCCCGGTTCTTTTCAGAACCACACATACTCATAAGGGAGGTATATTCCTTCGCATGGTGCTACCGCTAACCTTTCTACTTATTGCTGTCTTTCAACAGGAATTGCCTGAAATTCCATCAGCATTGATAAAATTAACTCTTGAAAGGAGCATGAATTGTGTTGTAGATGTAATACTGAAAAATACTGGTAAGACACTCCAAGTGACAGAAAGGAAATAAAAATGAATCTTGGGAAAAATGACTAAAGTTGATACTTTCACTCTTTTGGAAATGCAAGAATCCGGTGCACAGAAGATAAAAGAGCACACACACACAAAATTGTGTGCTTACATAGGAAACCAAAAAAAAGAAACTAGCCCACTGAATGCAAATAGAACCATTTTCTGTAAATATACATTATCTCTTTCTCATGTAGTCCTCGTCTTGACAAGCATCCTGTGATATGAAGTTTGACAAAGTCTAAACATTGGCATACCATCTGTGGGTCGTTTCATGCCATCAGAGGTGATCTCAATCCCTGTTGTTTGACTTCCCTCAGTGAGCTCTTTCTCAGTGTTGACCAAAGCCTCACGTACGCTCATGGCACACACCTATCATTCCATAACACATTCACATTTTTTGTAAAATGTTAAACTCAAAAAAGAGCACCACAGAATGCAGTAAAGCATTTTACACCCTTGAAAAAAGTGAGTTCATGTCATGCATTCTCGGATGAACTACAGAATCTCATGTTTCTTGACAGTGTCAGGTTAGATTCCGGATGCTTTGGATTACAATGAAATTAAAGAATGGCTTTGTGGGAAGTACGTTCAGAGTTATTCTGAGTAGGAATCCATTAAGGTGCTATCAGTCCACCAATACTGGCCAAATCTACTTGAGGGCATATGGTGAATGCTGTTTGGTTAACATGCCACAAAGTCCTAGCTCAAAAGTCCTGAAATCAAAGCTCTGAACAAAGGATACAGTGTCACTGTCTTATTTCAAGTGCATGCTATCAAGCATTTATCATAAATTATGCATATTCAACAATGTAGATAACCCAATGAATGTAGACATGCACCAGAAATCTGGTTGTTGTGAATCCTTACAGTACAGCAGAAAGTCAGTTACACCTATGGACAGAAGACCTGTGTTTGCACAGCTGTCATTTCAAAGAGATAATAACCACAATGACAAGTAGGTTAAACAAAACATGGCCACACCTTCTTCCGCTGGAGCTCTCTCAGTTCTTGGGTGTGTTCCTTCCAATCATCTTGGATCTTAATGTACGCCTGGTGCATGTCGGATAACTAAACACGGACAAACAATCAAACAGTCACTCTTTGATGATCAAATCTTTTCCTCCCTGCGGCAAACTAGCAGGACTGAAGGTCAAGCCAAGTCACAATTATTTTACACATTTTATAGTACCAAAGAACAAGTCACTGGGTTGATGCAGGAATGGCTTTCCAAGACTGGGAAGAATTCTGTGCCAGGTGACCAGATCAATTCAGGAAAGACTAGTTCATCACCCTGACAAGTTTTGTCGTACCTTCTGCTCATCTGGTGTTCTACTCAATCTGAGCATAAATCCAACCTCCTCCACGACATACAGCGATTTACTGATGCGTTCCGCAATTGTATCCCTCTCAATTCTTGCTCTGCAGAAGACAATAACACAGAGACATGTCAATAAATTAAATCCCCAAAACAACCATTTCAGAAAGATACAAGCTCCACCCAAACAGTCCTTAATCCTCCAATGGGTAGAAGATTAAGGACTATAAGGTTTAATCATGAAAGCAGCACATACGATCAGAAAATAATTGTTAGCCATCAAGGAGGCAAAATATGACAGCCACAAGATAGATACGTTACATATTACAATGATGAAGATGGCGATGACAGTGTCGGATGTACAGCATGCCAACAGTAATTTCTTTAAAATGCAATTATTTCACACAATGCATGCGTACTCATAAATTTTTCACGTTTTTCTGTGAGTAAGTAGGCTGTGTCTGGGTCTATAGACACATTTTGTGAGTACCGAGTACAGCCAAGTACTGATGGCTTTGAGTGGGAGTAAAAAATGTGGAGCAAGACACTGGTGCATGTTAGCTTTGAAGAATACCTTGTGGTTTGAGGTGATCAATGTCAAGTCAATGACACTTTTGTATCAGAGGTCTTAATCTTGAATCTGGTAGTCTGGATACAAGCACAGATAAAATCTTAATTCTAAAGTACCCCAGTACGAATGCCAAGTAGAACAACCATACTAAAGACAGCTTCTTCATACATCTCTTTATATAACTGAAAAGTTTTCTCTGTCATTCTGGCACTCACTTATTGAGCTGGCTGAGATAATGTTTTCCTTCTTTTCTCTTCACCTTCAGTTTGGCTTCTTCAACTTTCTTCTGAAAACTATCCAGCTGCAAAAAAATTGTCATCACAAAAATATTTAAGGAGCTAAAAACTCTCAGAAACATCTGGTATCTTCTATGCAAATGTGTTGATACTGGGGTTGGAAAGACCATGATTTTGTACAGCTGTATTGACAGATTTGAGCTGTGTAGCAAAGACAAGCAACAAGCCGAATGTCAGATGATGCAGATTGCAAACGGGGGCTTTTCTGCTAATTTACTTTGGACATTAAATTTTCCAGCAATTTTCCCACTAAAACACTTCACAAAAATTGAGTCCTTATCGGATTAAAAACTTATTGTTTTCCAAAGTGTCACTAGCATTTGGAGAAAAAATGGAACTTTTATTAAGGAAAACACACAATCCGTAAAAGGCACACTCATGATTTGTGGTTTTCATTCTCACCTCAACGTATGAATTGCGGATATCTTCATTCAGATGCTCACAAAGAATTTTCAGAAATGCGGTGTTACAAGAGACGATTGCCTTTTCCTAAATGTAAAAAATAATGAATCATTATTTTTCTCCACAGTTCCGAATCTGCTTGGGCAATTTAAACCTCATAAGATTTCATTACATGTCAGAAATACATTAATTAATAAACATTTATAAATACTGTACAATAAAACTGACTTCTTCCAATGAATACAAACTTCTCACTCACACGACATGCAACCAAAAGAATAAACCTAGAAACTCAGGTATCATTACCTCTTCCAACCCATTCAATTTTAAAAGCACAGGTCAACAGAGGCCTTCACTTTAACCACTTGCTGCCGGGGGGCCCGTTTTTGAGCACGTAGGCTTTATACACGAAGCCGGGCCACCCGAAATGGGACAAAGGGAACTGGGTCTTGTAATTAAGACCGTACTCGGAACAAAAGACCAGGCTGCTGGGCATTACAGACATTTTTTCATTTTCAATAATAGAGATAATCCAGCCTTGTTTTGAAACAGTATACCACGGTTTGGGGCATTGAGAGCGAGCGGATTACCACCGGGGACAAAAGTGCTCCAGCACCACAGCGATGAGCCACACAGCACCGCGGCACACTAATCTGGCCCCTATTGAAAAGAGGTCAGCAGCGCACTGTGCCAGGTTCGTGAACAAAAGAAAGTTATATAACACCGCACAATCTGGGCACTTTTAAAAAGGCTGCAGGCCTGGCTGAAATATTCGGGCGTCAATAGATTTTGTCTGTCAGAATAGAGTAGCCACTAGACAGTAATTTGTGTGGGTGTAAACGTCCATTAATTGAAATGATGAATTTTTGAAGAATTTTGAAAACTGAAAATCTTGGAAAAGTCCTGATTATGTGCACTGCATTTTCAAACCACCTGGCAGCAAGTGGTTAAAGAACCAACCAGAATATTGCACAATGAACATCCAGTTTTGCACTTTTTTTGATAGCTCCATGAAATGCCAGTTCCCTCAAAATTATTCTGAATGGAACTGGGTGTTCCTTCTTATTTACAGCAAAGATTGTATCATGGGTTTAATTCACAATGTTGGATTTCAATTTACTCAGGAAGCTGTTACTGTGTACCGATTGTAAATCTAGACAGATGTCCTCTCTCCATCGTCTCATGTTCTCTTTTATCTGTATCCTTTGACAGGACATTTTATCAATCTTGGCATCAAGCTCTCCTAAGACTTCTTTCTGTAAATTAAAATAGTTCAAAATGTAATTATTTCACATTTCATGACTGAAATTAAGCTGTAAAGACACACAAAAACATTTCTCCTAACCCACATACCACACACATGTAACATGGCGCAACTCAATTCATGACTGACCCCCCTAGCTGTTGACTGACCACATTTGTCAATGCGGAACATTTCCTGGTATACATGTACAATGCTGCTTAAAGTGTACCGATGATACTGTCTAGGTACCGGTACATAAGTTTTTGTATTTATTGCCTGGTTCCCATCACCACTCTTTTTGCCCAGGATGTTCTGAACAGACCCGGAACTGAGCGTAACCCGTGTTCTTTTCATTACATAAAACCTGCAGGTAGTTGCCACAGCATACTTACATTGATTTCTAAACAGACACGCCAAAATGTAAAAGTAATGACCTCTTTGCTTGCTATGTAGCTAGGCAAAATAACCCCTTCTTTAGTATGTGGAAAAGATCACCCAAAAACCCAAAAGAGGGGTTTTTCCTCTAAGGTAAAACAAATATGAAGAGACAGTTGACCACTTTTACGCATCCTTGGACTGACCTGATTGGTCAAGGCCTGAGTCACGTGTTCCTTGTCCTCTGAATGCAAGCGTATGATTGGTAGAATGTAGACATGTAGCAGGTGTAATAGATCCACATCGTCTTCATCATCTTGTCGGACTAAGATGCGTTTGGCAAGATCAAGACCTCTCTGCAGGTCAACGTCCGGAAGGAAAAAGTCTTCATTCAGGAGACCTACAAGTACATATACATTGAGAAGAACAAATATGGAGCTCATAATGTCATGCTTCATGCTGAATGATGCAAATGAACTTTTTTAGGAAGTAAATACTTGGTTAAAATTGGTGAGTAAACTCCAGTCTCAAGGCCAGACTGGATCCTCTAAACACTCAGTGCTTTAACTTTCAAAGAGCATCATGTCCCATGTACACATAAAATAATAGAGAAGAGAATCCACATTCTTCCCAACCCATCCTTCTATTAAGAAGGTTTCCAGTACATGTAATTTCAAATCGCATCTTAGAAGAGAAAGAAATTCAAGAATCTAGTTTTCCTCTAATAATGGTGTAGACTGTGCTGTCCCTGGACCCTTCTTTCTGCTATGGCCTCCATTGTCGCCATATGCATCACTCACATTCATGGGTGTGCTTGCAACGTTGGTAACCTCTCTCTCCCATGATTCTCTGCGTGCAGTTTCTATGGGAACAGGTGGTCCACTGGATAGCTTTATTGATGAAGTCAATGCACACAGTGTCGACTACCAGCACCTGATTGAAAACGGAAAAGAAAAGAAAAGCTCAGCCAAGTTTAACGTTATGCAAAATACATTTCCAGGGAGTAAATTTTGGATGGTAGGCAAAGTTTGAGATAAATGCACATTTTCCAGCCACTTATCCTTTTTATGCGATGCTACCGTACCAGTTATAGGTGTAGGAGGCCCTGTGGTTACGGTTTGTGGCTTCTGACCAGAGGGTTACAGGTTCAAATCCAACTGTTAGTCATGCCAGTAAGTTGTGGCCTTAAACCCTGCTTGCCTCTACCCATCTAGGAGTATACATGTACACGTACTTGGGTATTGGCATTAGCTGGAGAACAACCGGTGATAGACTGGCATCCCATCCAGGAGAGAATAAACTATTTTCAGATAATTCTTGCAAAGGAAACTGGAAATTTAACACCGACCTGATGGCTTGGAACAAACTTACCGGTGCTTTTGCTTTTACCGGTTAATACAGTACATGCACACACAACTACAAGTATTGCTTGCCAATAGCCTAAGTTTCAAACGTTTGCCTGTAGAGCTGAAACCTTGTCAAATCTACAACAGATAGCTTAGCCAAAGACACTTTAACTTCAACCGGAGAGTCATAGCAGCTACATGTAAGCAGCATACATGTATGGAAGCTGCGTACATGTACATGTATGGAAGCTGCGTACATGTACATGTATGGAAGCTGCGTATATGTACATATATGGAAGCTGCGTACATGTACACATCAACACGAAAAGTCCCCTAACGTAGTGCATTGCACTGTTTTCCTTTCGTTTTCTTTGACTTTCCTCTTGCAGTGTTGCCAAACATCTTCACTGAAAAGCTTCAAACTCATCCAGCTGAATACTGGTACCATTACCTTTATTATGTTGAGCCTTAGTGAACAATTTCAGTGTGATGAAATTTAGTCTGAAATTCAAGGACAATGGTGTCTGGAAACTGGGTACATATTCAGCAGCATTCCCTACTGTGAAACACTTGAGCAAATCTCAGAAAATTGCACATTAATAGTTAAGAATTTCTTTAAATTTGACAAATTCTGGCAAATCATTACAGCCTCAAATACCCAACTACGAGTTTGTAAGAAAAGTGGGGGGGGGCTTTTTAAGAGTTCCTCGTGCACAATGAAAAAACAATACGAAAAGGAGACCAAAGTAGACTTTCACTGGAACTTTATCTACTAAGTTCCACACTTACTTTACTGACGATTCATTTATTGTACCACTGAGGTAAAAGTACATTACTCAAAAAAGTTAAGGACCACTTCTTAACTGGTAATTTTTTTCCAAGCAATGAGTGGAGTCTAGCTTTTTCATTTTTTTTTTGGTCTAGATGGTGTTCTCATTGGAATAAAACTTTAAAAATTTCAGGACAATTATATTGGGGTATTTTCAGCAGTAAAATATCTCATACAAAATAAGTACATCTATACACAAAATAAAGGGAGGTCTTAACTTTTTTGAGTTGTGTATTTTGCTAGCAAGGCTCAGGAAGGGAAAATGTATGCCATGTTAGGGTAGCCATATGTGTACATGTGAACATGTACGTCAACAAAACACATTCTCACAACCTGCATGTACTGGCATGACATCCTGTATGTTTTACATACAGTACGTACATATATTGTAGCAGGTGTAACCAGCAGCAAAACTGTTTCGGTTGTAGGTCAGTGGTTGTGAGTTTCAACAAGCAACTCCATGTACCCTCATTCACAGTCGTGGCAATAAAGTTAAAGGAACCAGGAAATCGAACTATTTTATAAATGTTCCCTGATAGCAACTTTGGGATTCACAATTTGAACACGAAAACATGCAACCTGAACCAAGTCTTCGTGGATTTACATCAAGCAAAAAGCATTCTCACTTGTCCAGAAATGGCTGGTCAATTTTTAATGTTTGAAAAAGTGCACCATTAATTCACGTAACTCAAAGAAAATGTCAAACAGTCTTCATACATGGAAGAAGAGTACAGAGATACACAGAAAGTGATTCGAAGAAAAATTCATTTCCTGGTTCCTTTAAGCAGTTTTTGTTTGAATGAAACACAATACATCCCTGACCCAGCCAGTAGTTCTGTTCAAGAGGATATGTACACTGGACATGTACCAATATGTTTTTGGTTGTTGGTTGGCAGTTGACAGTTGTACATGCAACCTGATGTTTCATGTACTATGAACAAAATGATTGAATTTCTCCTCTCAAGTGGTTTTTCCTTTGAAAGTCACACTTGGTGTGATATCCAATAAGTGGCTATCATGCAAACACTGTACTTATATTCTAAAAATGTCTAAGTGTGTACATCTATTTAGTCAAGAATGTACACTGTACGTGTACCCATGTTTGTTGTGCAATCTGTTTGAATACTCTGTCCATCTGCGTGATCACTTGATCTTTGCACAATCTGCTGATCTCATTCGCATGATTTGCTGACGGATAATTTTGCCATCAGCCAATCACTTTTTCTTTCTACATGTAACTTATGGTTGAGGAAGATTGTTTCAAAAAAGGGAAGTAATGTCCTAGATTTCCCACTGGATCAGCTGATAGTATTACGCAATGCATGATCGTGCTGACAGACTGATCATATCCAACATACCGGTGCATGTAATTGTACAGAGAAAAGGCTACATGTAATCTACGGTATACATGTCCATGTAGACTGGTACTTGTAGGAAACTGTTCCTCCTTACACGGATGATACAGCTGTTTTGGACAAGTTACAACGTGTCATGAAGCCTCAGTGGAAGGAAGTTACATTTACACACTGCAGGCACGCAGGCTCTTTACAATGTACTTGTACATGTGTACCATGTACCCCACTGGTACATGTGCAGCAGACATACATTGCACAGTTTATTGGCTCATTGGTCCAGAGTTAATCAATGATTTCCTTAACATGAAACAACTGTTAAAGACTACGGTAGATGGGATGGAACTCTACATTACAGGTTGTTCCCAACTACCTGAATGCTGGTACCCATTTCAGCTAGCTGGTAAACCGTAACGATTCAGGAATGACAATGTATTGGCACAAGGCTAACATAGTATACTGGTAATTACTGAAACATTTCAATAAAAACCATGAAATTATCACCATAACTTAATTATTTCTGCATGGGGAGCTCCTTTTTCACTCGACTGACGCATTTTCCCCATAAACTTCTAATACACCTTTGTACAATTTACTGTACATTATGACTGGTTTGCTTATCTTTCCGCATAAATTAGCAATGAAAATGTTTCCACAAAGCAGTTTTCGGTGTGAAAACGTTGAAGATCTAGACATGCATTTATACATTACACCTATGAACGTACATGTATAATGCACAGTAAAATACATACCGGTGTATGTCTCACAAATTCAACTAATTGCTCCGTAAACTCAAGTGTGTCTTTGACATTGATGTTCAGTGACCTACCTGTACACGTACATGTCCCATATGCACAACTGTAGCTCAGCATACAAGGGTGTAAAATACAAATGAAAGGACCAGTGTTGTATTCAAGTCCATTACAAGTCCCTGTACATGTAAGTCCATCACAAGTCATTCAGTCTTAAGCCAATTCACAAGCTATTCAAATGAGCTGTGACAAAGCATTCTTTTGTCATAGTTCCTCCTGTTATGTATGATTGGCTTTGTGATGGGACTTGTGAGTGGACATGTGACAGATTCAAATGTAGCACTGAGGACTGTATATCAGTTTGAAGGATGGGCTTTTTTAGTTTGCAGAAAACGAAGAAATTACCTAACGTCACATTGCAAAGCCCAACGCATGTCTGTACATGTATCGCACATGTACACTGGGCCTAATTCATTTGAAATGACAACTCACCCAAATAATGCCTTACGTAGTAAACTTCATATTCGCTCTCTATACCTCGACAAATATTGCTAAGCCATACTGCTGCACACAATCGTGTTTGTATTCATGACTATTGTGTCCAAATTTCATGTTTTGAGTGAAAGAATCCTCTGGGACACACATTGGTTCCCTTGTTATACACTTTACTTACCGTACCAGTAAGTAAAGATATTGCAAATCTTGAAACGGTTATTCAAATTCATAAATTTCAACAAATCATTTCCTGAGCATCGCAGTTTCAACCATGAGTACATTTACTTATATAAAGGTTAAATTTTTTCCATTAAAACCCTTTGAAATTACATTGTTAGCTACAATGTGTGAAAAACTATGAAATAAGGTTTACATTTGAAAGTACATATACAATATACTGTACATGTAAATCCACACAACATACATGTAGCTTCAGGGATCATTTTAGGTATACAATTTCAAACGCCTTTTTTCATTATCCCCTCAAACCCAAAGTGTCCAAAGCTCAATCGTACTGCTGACAGTTCTGCAAAGAATGTACAGCAGTTTCACACCATTATTTGTACATGTAATAATTTCTATGCAAAGAGAGAGTTCAGAATGAAAATAGAAGACAATAAACACACAAGAAATTTTCAATCTGTATTACCAGATGATTCAGAAGATATTCCCAGATTAAAACAGGATCCAGGGACAACATAATGACGTCCATTAGATGACTAAGACCAATTTTATTGTTAACTGCGGTCTATCTTGCATCCTGGTCTGCCATCCATGTATAGATATAGGCATGGGTACATACCTTGGATTGAGACAACATCCTCATGAGGATTTAATCGTGAACATGCTGGCAATCTATTTTAAAACCTGGACTAAAAATAACCTCTTGCCTTTAACCATGAAACGACAGAAACAACTACAGGTAGTGCTCTGGTCACATGGATCCATGTAAAACCAACGTATGTATCAATACATTTATGCACACAGATCCAGTGGATCAGAAGTCATCTCTCCCCTTCCCCCTGTGCCCCTCAGCAGACCTGCCAGCATGCCGTACTCCTTCCTGAGGCCAGGCATTAGCGCACAATAGATTAAAAATGTAATGAACTGAAGGCTCATTCGAACACCTTTTAATCTATTGTGTGGTAATGCCTGACCT